TTCGCCGGCTCTGGGTCGCTTCGGGGCCCTGGAGCTTTCTGCTTTGTGATCCAGGGGTTCCTCAGATCCTTTGTCTCCGCCTCATGGACGGGGAGCCCTCGGGAAAGGAATGAATCCCTCGACCCTCCGCCTGAGGCGGCAAACTCGTCGAGCCGGCTAAGGACGTTTACATTGTCCTTCTCCAGCTGACGTAATCTATCGCCAAATTTCTCTTCTATCACCTCTACCAGCTGACGGGCCAAGGGGGCTGATCCTCCTGACCTGATCCCCATACTGGTTTGGGGGGTTACCCCCCTTGACCGAGTAGAGGCACTTTTAATCGTACTGGTGCGATCCCTCCCTCCGTGATGGCAGGGAGCTTGCAACTCATGACTCCTTTGGTGGGGTCCTTTCCCTTTTTGTCTGGTGTTCACCATGGTCACTGTTCTTTATAGAGAAAAGATTAGGAAAACTACTCGTTTCCCACAGACGGCGCCAGATTGTGCGTGCAAGATCCTGCACGATATAAAAATATTGGGAACAGATCTCTCCCCTGGTGAACTCTGAGTGGGCCGGTGGAGCGGTCAAACACGCTGCTTGAAACAGCCTGCAAGGTACGGTGGCAACCTGGAACGACAAAAGAAGATCCTGGGAAAGGAAGAACAATCCTGTACGTGTGAAAGGTTTTCCTGGAACAAAGAAGAACATGTTAGAAGGGTGCCGGAGTGTTTTCCGGCGTATCCCCTCCGACGGTCTAGTCAGTCTTTGAATGAGAGAGAGGAAGAGGAAAACACTGAGAAAGTCTGTATTGTAGTGGAGAGTTTGTGATTGCATACCCGCTTTGCCTTTTGGGAGGAGTATTTATACCTTAGAAGCTCATGATTGCTGTCAGCGTGGTCAGTAGGTGATTATCAGGCACAGGTAGCGTGTGTATTGATTTGATGAGGAATGTCTTCTCTAATTGACTGCTCGGGGTCCCGAGCAATCAATGTTGAGTCGTCGGGATGCCGACGGTACAATATGCTCCTTTCGGGAAGGATGTAATAAATGCTCTGTAATAGGAGCATTTATCGCCTTTCATATCCGAACCTTACCGCATTGAATGCGGTCTCGTCAACAGAAGGGTGCAATTAATTGTTTGCTTCCCAAAGCGCATGTCAGCAACAGCATGCGGTTTGTCTGTTTTTGATGTGATATCGTATGCCACGCGTCCGTCACGTATTGGCTATGACTTCTGTATTCCAGCATGTTCTGACATTACTTGTGTAAGACGAGGTCATGATGAATAGTCTAGACTGGCATAGGCTGATGTCCCGTACGTCAGTAGCTTTATCTGGGAGTAGAGGAAGCGTCCAGGATGGAGTGACCCTCGGCACCGAGGGAAGGCTCTCCTCGGGGACCGAGGGGTGGTGTGTTTCCGAGGTACACGGTGACCGAGGACACGTGTTGTTGTATAATACACCGAATGCATGATCCTTTAAGAGGTACCTCGGGGGAGAGGACGCTCTTCGCCGATGGTGCTTACATCCGGGCAACACTGTTTCCGAAAACCCGAGGACACGTGTCTTTATCTTAGGGCTTTTCAGAAGAGTCCCATCAAGTATTTACCAAAATTTCTAATTCTATTTACCCCATAAAATGTTGGGATTTAGATCCCTTAAAGTACATTTTTCTTTAAGCTTCCTCCGGTAAATCATTCACTATGAATTCAAGTAAGATTCATTCCAAATAAGCACGTCTCGCATCGATACCCGATAGATGATTTACTATTAAAAAAAATAATGTTACTGGATAAGATTTAAATTCGAAATGGAGATTTCAATAAGAAATGGCGCATGCAGACCTGATTAGCCTATTCGAGTCCTTAGCATGGCACATGTTAGGTAGTGCAATGTGAACAAAATGAATTAATGAAGGCCGTGATGGATTGAAAAATGTGATAGTCTTTTACATAACTTTGAATTCAAGTAGGGTTCAAAGTCTTTTACATTTTCCTTCAAGCTTCGTCCTGTAAATCACTCACTATGAATTCAAGTAGGGTTCACTTAGAATAAGTATGTCGCACATCAATATCCGGTAGATGATTTACTATTAAAAAAAAATGGAAAAAAAAATAATGTTACTAGATAAGATTTAAATCAAGGGTGACCTGAGACATTTTGAGACCTAAAGTAGAAATAATGTGGTCTTTTTATTTTTAATATTAATAATAAATTTAATTTTTAATTTTTTTAAATACAAAAATATTAATTAAATTTTTTATATTCAAGTTTTTGTTATCATATTTGTAGTTAATGGTAAGAGAAAAGAAGTATGATTGAAAAATTATGATAGTAAGTTTAAACTTAACTTTTTTTAGGGTTAAAAATAAATTTTTTAGTAACTTTAGTGTTATAGTTAGTTTTTTTTTTCTTTATTTTAAAAATAAATTTTAGACCCTTTTAATTTCACAGCTGAATTAATAGGCTCAATTTACTTAAGTTGAATTTTTTTTTATAAATTATTTTTGATATCTAAAAATTTGGGACCTTCTTTAAAAAGGGGCCTAAACCCCAATTTTTTTTGATAATACTGTTGAACCGCCCTTGATTTAAATTCGAAATGGAGAATCAATAAGAAATGACGCATGCAGATCTGATTAGCCTATTCGAGTCCTCAGCAGTGCACATGTTAGGTAAAGCAATGTGAACAAAATAAATTATAATCAAGACTTTGGTGGATTGAAAAATGTGATAGTCTTTTACCTAATTTTTTTTTTCTTTTTTTCCCCATTTTGATATGATATAATAAATTTTGGATTTGGAACAATCATGATTTGATTATTTGATCAAGTAATACATATTCTAGAGTCGAGTATGGAAATCAACTTTTTCGAAATATAGTAAGAATGCTAATCTTACATATTACATTACCTACGAGAACCTTGTACAGACTGGCTACAACATTTTAACCCTTTTTTGTAGGATACAGTAAGATAATTTAGGGTTATGTTATTTTCATTCTTGTTAAATTCATGTTAATATTTATGTCAATAAAAAAATATAATTCTAAAAAAAAATCATATAATACTATGTAATTTTTTTTTAAAAAAAATGAGTAAATACCTATTTTTTACTTATAATTTATATCTATATCTATTTATACTACTTATAAATGGTAGCATCTGTGAAAAAATTTTAATTTTCTATTTTACCCCTAATTATTATACTAAAGTCAATTATATTTACCTATATACTTTCACCTAATTTTTATTTTTTATTCTTAATTGAATTTTAACTTATTTTGGACTCTTTTATAAGGACTTATAAATTATTTTGAACTCATTTAGTAGTAGTACAATTACACATAATTTTTTTTATGTATATAAAAAAAGAAAAGTCTTTATATATATATATATATATATATATATATATTATACACGTGTAATTACCAATTTTATTTACACAATTAAATATATATTATATTTTGTTTTTTAGTATGAAATAATATAACAATATTATAAGTGATCTAATCAATTTATTTAACAAAAGAAAAATTAATAATTCTATAATATGGTTAGATAAACAAATGACTAAAGGGACTGGAGATAACTAAATAAATGACAGATTAGTTGTTCAAAAATTTATAGAATAAATGAATAATTAAATTTAATAATAATAAAAATATGAATTAATTATTTGACACTTATTTTATTCTTTAATTTAATTACTCACATAATTCAAATTTTTTTTAAAAAAAATATTATTTAAATTTGTTTAAGCGCAACACACTTCGTGCATTGCTAATATTAGTTAAATGTATTCTTTGTATTCAATACTAACACCACTCTTTTATTATAAGTTTTCATTAATTGTCTAATTTTTAAGTTTTGTATTATGATGAGTTCGTATGTTATTTGTGTGGACGGGGAAAGTTGTTGGCAACCCCCACGGGGTGTCAATTTTTGACTAAGACTCGAACTAAATTCGACACCAATTCAAAAATAAATTGGTTAAATTAAAATTTGACATGAATAACACGATTAATGAGTACAATAGATAGAAAATAATTATTTAATAAGTATTATATATAAAAAAATAAAAATTTTATAATTTTTTAAATTGTATTATATTAGTTATTGTGAAAGTAAATAATTTATTATTAACAGAAATATTGATACAAATCCGACACATACTGATACAATACAAAAATAACATGATCAAAAATAATACAACATAAAACTGATACGACACTGCTGGTGGACAAATGAAGGACACGACACGAAAGACACGCTTAGGCCCAATTACAGAGACTAAGTACTGACTTGCAAAAGTCTTGGTCTAACATTTTACTTTTCAAGTTCTACGATGTATTTATTGCATGTTGAACAAAACTTTTTTCGACTAATATTATTTGTACTTAAAAATTAAATTAAATTTATTGATATAATGATATAACTTTAGTAGAACTATTAGATAAACACCAAATTTCAATATTTGATGGGTCTTACAGTCAATCCAAAAGTCATAATAAATTAGGTTAATAAATTAAATCTCAACAGGAATGCTTATTGTTTTCAATTCTCTTCAACAACCCTATTCTAGTTAATTGGTGACAGATGTTGCTTTCTAAGACAAAATAATTTTAGGACAAATGACACTTTATACCTTAAAAGATTTTTACATTCTCAATTTATTTTTTTAAAAATTAAAATTATAATATTGCACTTTCAATCAAACAAAAAAATAGCAATGAGCTCCAATTTAAAGAAAATTTAGTACAAAATTTTCATTAAAAGCACTTAAAAAATCGGTATATGCAAATAATTGTGTATAAAAATAAGATAATATGATAAATACAAAAAAAAAAAAAAATGTTGGCAAACGTGACAAAGCATTTGCTTTTGAAATACATTACTACCTTTTTATCTAATAAAGGATGTAATATACAAATTTTACCATTTTAGAGTATAAATTAAAAATTTTGGGATGAAAAGTGTAATTCACCCACAATCTAGTACCGAGCCTAAACCGTGTTGGCAGACTGAACCGGCAGTTGACGAAGACCCTCTTCACAAGTCAGTCAACTATAAATTTTTTTTTGCTGGGTCGGTCAGTCAACTGTAAATTTCTAATTATGTCATTTTCACATAAAAAATTAATAAAAATAATGTTACATAAATTTAAAAATTAGAATTAAAAATAATTAATAAGTAAACTATAGGTAATAATGAGATGTAAAAGGGACTTAAAAGGTAAACAAGTAAGAATTAATTCGGGGATCAAATGACTTATGATATCGTGCTCTCGTGTCACATGACAATATTTTAGGACAAATCTAATGTTAAATGTTTCGTGTTGATTTAAGAATAATAGGGCTACCTATAGTTAGACTTCGCGGCCCTGCTTCCAAATCTTCTAGATACGCATTTGATGTGCACAATCTTCACACTATGCAATGGTAATGAATTATAAATCTACCATACAATCTAAATAGAATAGATTCGTAGACCGGGCGACTGATCCGTTTTAAATTTAAAATATTTCTATAGGGCCTTTTCCTATTCCTTCTATGTCGCAGGGTTAAAACCAAAAAATATTTGTTTTTTTCTAGAGGTTTTCTCACGTTTTCGATAAAATCTTCTCGTAAAAGTATTTTAACCAGATTTTCAGTGATATTAGTAGATGCTATTCGAACCACTCTTTTTTTATCCATATCAGCATTTCGTATAGAGGTTATTATGTCAGCAATAGTGTCCCTACCCATGATGAACTAAAATTATTGGTGCCTCTACTCATCTACTAGCCCGTCCCAAAATTATCAAACTTCAAAGATGATCCGGGGAATAAATGTCATTCAAAACAAAAAAAAAAACCCCATCCAACCCTTCCCCAAAAATTAGAAGTTTAATCAACGTTATGTATAGATTAGATTTTTGAGTTTAACATGTGAAAATATTTTTAATAATTAGGGTGACGGAAAGTTTTGGAAACAAAACCTCCTACTTTGATACTAATATTAAATAACGATTTATTTTATAAACTTAAACTATTAGAGACGGTATAATTTAATTATTTATATTTCAACAAAAATTGCTAATCAATCATATCTAAAAAATTGTGGATCGATACTAGAAAACTCTGGGATCAATTCTAAAAAGGTGTGATTGGTCCCAAGTTTTTGGATCAATTCTTAATCGACCCTACTGAGGCGTAACCTGATGCTTGATGGTAACTTCCTTTCCGATAAGATCCAAAAAATATTTTTAATGCCCTATAAAAATCCCATTAAATAAATAATCAAGGGTTAGTTTTGTAAAAGAAGCTCCTACCACCCCTAATAAATTATGGGATTCTAAACCTTATAAAAGTCCTCCATATATTCTTCCTAATATCCCACTAAACTTACAAATCCTTTCTCACCCCCAAGTCTCCCTCATTTCTTCCCACCCAGAGAGCTTTTCCCTTGTGAGTGACTATACATATCATATGGATCAAACCAAGCACCATAACATCCAAACTCTGACTCAGTTCAGCCAATTCTACTTTCCCAAGATTGCTATTCAAGTTCTTCTCTCTGTATCTATATTTTCCTTCCTATTTTCCAATTCCTCTCTGTTTCCTTTCCTTCTCCATACTTTCAACACCTATGCTTTTGCAACTGACAGGAACTACATATTCCTGCTTTGCAATGGGATTCTGGTTTTTCTCATCGGAAACTCCGGCTTGATCAGCAATTCTCCATGGCACGCTGATAAAATGGGTGGTTCAGTGCACGAGGCTACTGCTATCGCGGAGTCGAGAGAGGGTCAAATGTACACAGCTTTTCATCCGCAAGTGGAGAGATCGTCTCCGCCGCATGCTGATATGAAAGAAAATCAGGTGAAGAACAACACTGGTAAGTCTCAGAGACCATTAACAGAATCACCAGATAGAAAGGCAATTGTTATAGAAGAAGCTGATATGGAAGTAGAAGAACAAGGGAGGGAAAATGGGATTTTGGTTATGGTTGGAGAGAGTGAAGACTTGATTGCAGAAAATGTAGATGCCAATGACCAAGCATATCAGTTTCATGATATTGAAGAAGAGGAAGAGGAAGGAATTGGGTCGTTGAGTGCAGAGGAATTAAACAAGAGATGTGATGATTTCATAAAGAAGATGAGAGAAGAAATCAGAATTCAGTCCAAACAACTAGTTATGTTTCAGAGTCTTTGATTAATAAGCTAACACTGTAATCATTAATCTGTTATAAATAGTGACATGTGATTTTCTGTCACAAATTCCACCTCAATTTTCTATACCTGTTTGGTATTTGTATGAATTTTCAGAAGAACTTTCTGTTTCTCAAGATAAATTTCAGTTATCAACAAAGTCTTTCTAACACTTGTTTTTTTATTCAACAGTTAGGAGTGTCTGGGTTATATTACACGTACCTTACCTAATCTCCTCTCCAGTTTCAGACCATCCATGTCGAAAATAAGATATTCACAAGGGATAGCCTGAGGACGAGGGTTGCCAATTTCTGACACTTCAGCTTAGCTGAAATTACACAAATTTATCAGTTGAGGCCATCAGAAAGCACAGTTACCTTACTGGTTCTCAAAAATATTTGTTTTCTTTCATTGAATAAGCAGTTAATGTAAGGCTTTCAGAAGTCCACCTGGCTTCGATGAGTTCAATACAAATAGGGTGAGTTCAATAGAAACTATCGACTACTTTGGCCTTGTGAAGGCGGCTCTGGGTAAACAGGAAATCCAACTCTATGAAAAAAAAAATTGTATAATAAAGTAGGAGCGTTTAAAACGGAAATTTTTTTTATTGCTAGTAAGAACGCAAGGGAATGAATTTTATCCCCTAACGAGTGAAGTGCCAAGGCCCTAACAACATTTTTTTTTCTTTTAATTCTCTCGTTGACAGATCACTTGTCATATATTAGTGAGAGACTCACTTGTATATATCAGTTCCATTTGAATTCACATTAGATGATCCATCAATGAGAAAAAAAAAATGTATCAATGGAAATTCAATCAAATTTGAGAATTTTTAGCAGCTTTAATTAATAATTAGTGCGACTAATGGAACTCCTAGCAACTAACACAGCAGTCCCCAAATGGTTTTAGAATTGATTGCTAAATTCAGGTTTACGATTCAATCAGACAGGAAAATCAAAGAGAATCTTTGCTGGGACTAATAAATCCTAGATTTTAATTTTCTTACCCAAGATATATGGTTGTGAACATCTTTGTATTCATTATTTCGTACATGTGATTGTGATATTTTAGGTCCATACCCATTTTTTTTCAAAGGAAGAAGCTACCAAGCAAATATCTCATTGACTTGGGGTCTTCCACAAGATGACAATTTGAGTTTTAAAATATCCAATATGCCTCACATGAAAGACAAACACCAGTGAAATAAAATAATCATCCATGCTTCACTATTCACACACACATATGTTGGTGTAGAATTTTTTATTTTTATGTTTTATTTAGCGGTTAGAGTGTCTAGGCTAGTTTACGTGCACTTCAATTAATTATCTCCCCGGTTCAGTTAAAAGCAGATTATCTTCGCCGAAACTAGGATATTTATAAAGAATAAATCTTTTGTGGCCTAATCCCAAAATTCAAACTCATGATATCTGATATCCATCGTCTGATTAATAATAATACAAAAAGTAATGATTATGATCTGATCGCTTCTCACAACGATGCTCACATGCCAAGTGCCAAGTGCACCTTTTTTAGCAGTAAAACAATAGCATGTGATAGATATTTATTAATAAATGTTTTTCTTTTGTTCTCACTATTTAACGTATAATTCTTTTTAAAACAAAATTACAAGTCTACATAAAATTGTCATTATTACTTTGAAAAACTCCAAAATACTTATTATATAATTGTTTTGAAAAAGTTTCAACAACACACACACACACACAGAGAAAAGGAGTAGGGTTGTCGTCTTCTAAATGGGTGATGGGTGATGGGTGATGGGTGATGGGTAATGGGTGAGTTCTATTTCTTGTCCATTATTGTTGAACAGATTGTGGTATGCCAACAATGGCATTAGGCACACATTGTATCATATAAGCAAAGGCACGAGCAAGCTTTTGTATCAAGTCCTGTGCGGTGATATAGGGCACACATAGTCTATTAAGATCAACCAAGGAGAATAAATGAATCTAATCCTCACAAGTTTTTTGAGGTCTTTTTTAGATCCTCAAATCATTATCAAAGTCTATGGTATCGAATAAAAAAATTTAGTACTATACTTTTGAAATAAAAAATTATAACTGTTCAAAGGAATCACATGATTCATTATCGGTATAATTGTTTAACCCATGATCATGATCATAGATATACATGATTGATTGGATTAGACAAATTTAATTCAGCACCACCGAGTGGGGTGGTCCAGCAGGGTACCGACCAAACTTCTCACCCTAAGGTTAGAGGTTTGAGTTTTGGTGTCCATATTAGGGCTCGGTGATTGACTGATGTATTAGTCTAGCTAAATTCTTTCCCGAGAAGAGCAACAAGCGAGGTCAGATGTCTCATGATCCCACTAATGAAGATCTATCGGGATAGTCTTTAGACGCTCTCCTTTGCCCCCTACCTCCTTTTCAATTATCAAAAAAAAAAAGACTCATTTAATTCAGCACCTCAATGAATCAATACATTTTACAACCCCCAGTTATCAATACACTACACACTAGTAGATCATATCTCAAGTTTTCTCTCACTTGGAAAAAATTCCCACTACTTCACTATGTGCAAGAACCAAAGTATATTCCTTTTATATGTGGTGATGGATGTATCACCATAAAGTTCAAAAGTAATCACTATACAACAAAATCAAAACAAATTAATGTTACCATCAAGTGTTAAAACAAATCAATACTACAGTGGAATTTGAAAGTGACCCCAAAAGAATGGTAGAATAAAACCCTCAAAGTTCAAGATCAATTCCTGTCTTTGACAAGTATTGACCCTCTGATCTCTAGATTACGAGAGTTGGGTAGTCTAATACGCCAAATACCGTCAATTTTTGCAAGACAAATAATTTAAAATAGGAAAAATAATTTCACTGGAATTTTAACCGACTAGGGTGATAAATCAGTTAAAAAGGCTAGGTCTATGGGGGAGACAGAAGTTCGACAAAATTTGATCGGTTTTCAATTGATTATTAAAACAATGGTTTTTTGTACTCCATATCTTCAAAGATTAAATTTTTCATATTACACCTTCAATGTATGAAAAGTATTATAATATGCCCATTTTTGTTAGATTTTGTTATTTTTTTCGCTAAAATCTAACCTATTAATACTAATGCAACACTTTTGATATATTAAGAATATAATATAAAAAATTTAATCTTTAAAGATACAAAGTGAAAATTTTAAAATTTTGTAAGGTACCAAGTGTAATTCATCCTCAACACAATAATATGTAGTCCCCACAAGTTAACAAGATACCAGCATACAGGATTAGAATTAATTAAACCTGTCCCTTCAAGAAACTTAGAGCTGGGCATGGCTAAGGTTGTAACTTGAGCGGGCAAATCCAATTTCAATTCGAACTCAATCTAAAAAAATTAGGGTTTGGGCTAAGATTTTTAATACTTGAGTTAGGCTTGGGTCAAAAAATCTCAACCCAAATTTAATTTGGGTAGACCTAGGGTTGAGCCATCGGGTTCAACCCGAATTAATACTATATAAATATAATTTTATCTTAGGGTTAATATCAACTCAAGTGTACGCCTCCCTCAGACCCTCACTCACTCTCAGTCTCTCTCAAGAATTCTGGTTGTGCAAGAATTTTGTTTAAGCAATGAACTTTATGTTTAAACAATGAACTCTACGTTTGTGCAAGGATTCTGATTGTGTTTATTTGTGTTCTGTATGGTTGTGGTTGCATTATCTCAAACATTGCATTCTTAATATTATGATTTTTATGTTAAAAACTTGATTGAAGTAATTCGAAATAAGTCAGAAATCATTAACCCGAATTCAAGCCGAACATGCACAAATTAAACTCGGGCAGTGCTTGGGTTAAGTTTCTCAACTCGATGTAAGGTTAGAGTTAGGATTAGGGTTAGAATTGAAAATTACATACTTAGGGTTGCACTAGGGTTAACTGTCCAATCCACCCGACCTGCCCGAGTTGCACCCCTAGGCATGCTCTAGTTGGAATTTTGAAAAAAAAAAATTCATGACAAAACTTATATAGAATTTTCCGGGTAAGGTGACAAACCTTTGTTGTCAAAACCATTGAGCTGTAGTCAACAGACCCCAGCACTGCTAGTCCACGAGATTCTTTTATCTTCCATTGCTGTAGTTTCAATAAAATAGAAAATTAGCAAGTGTTAGTAGGACAATGAGACATGGAGAACTTGAAAACATGTCAAGAGCAAATATTATATTACCCATCAGAGTGGACCTTGGTGTAGCAGTAAGGTTTTCGATTACGACCTTGATGTCGGGAGTTTAAATTGTGGAAACAGTCTCTCTGCATACAAGGTAAAATTGTGTACATTTGATCCTCTCTAAATCTTATAGTGACGAGTGCACTGGATCACCTTTTTATTCATTTTGAGAGAAAAATAACAGTGAATGTAAAACATTGCTAAATCTCAATGTGGAATAGTTGAAAAAAAGAAAAAAGGCAAACAAGGCAATTAAATGGAAAACAAGAAAAAAGCAGACTGGCCATGGAGGAGTATTGCATCTTCTGCTTAAGAAAGCTTGAAACAAGCATTCTTCAAGACAACACAAAGAATATCAGTTTACATTTTCAGTGGAAATAATGACTCCTGACTCAGGACATCCACTCACATTTACTCAACTGGACAAGAGTTGAAATAAGAAATCAACAGGAGTAATCATTCATATTTCCCAATTGTCATAAAAAAATTTTAACATGTCGTGTTATTTGAATTCGTATCTTGTTCAGCTAGGTTTGTGTGTTTTAACTAAATTCGTGTCTACTTATTCACTTAACAGGTCTAACAGGGTTCATTTGTTTACCATCCAAAGCTGCTAAAGTTAAATTCAAAACCAATATGTCAGTTTCGGGTTCACAAGGCATGTGTAGAATTACATTTTGAGTCACATTTCATGATTTTATGGTTTGGTACAAGATCATAGATCTGATGAGTCAGTTCTTTAAGAGAAAGAGATGATAGGGCTGCAAGAACATTTGTTTAGGGCAACAACTCTGTGCAAGGAAGTTGGCAAAATAGCCCCGCAACTTCGGGAGAACGGCGCCTCCTCACAAAAGGGGTCGCAGTGACCAACCCGGATAACTGTTTCACGCAAAAAGAAAAATGCGATGCAAAAATGCCTTTTTTCTTCAAGTGTAACTCCTTTCATTTCAACAAAATGTCCCACAGCTTCCAAAATGGATGCCTCAGAATCACTAGATACCCCAATAATCGAATTCCATGAAACTTTATGATGTCCAGGCATCAAGGAAAACACTGTCTTCCTTCCAGTGATAGATCCAATCTCTCCATATAAAAGCAGAACATCTGAAAATGAAACATCCATAGCAAGTCCCAACTCAAACCCTCCACAAACTGAGACAAGACAAAGCAAAGTCTGCATACCAGAGAAAAAAAAAAACAGATGGGGAGATGGGTTACTGCAAGTCCTCTTCCTGAATGAACACAGGCTGCAGTTTGTATATGGAAGGAGCGGGATGAGCATCCAACATGGGTCTTGATTCAGTGGAAACGCGGTCCCTAATCAAGCCCATCAAAGCCAACATCTTTCTACTAGAGTTTGTTTGCTCTTTTGATGCCTGATGAGAACTTCTGTAGCTGAATCTGGTAGACCACAATATGAAAAAAGGAAAATCACAGCAAAAACATAAGCATGCAGCCCACAGAAGTGCTGACTAGGTGATGTACACAACAAAGTTCTCTTTACAGGGAATACGTTTTCAGGTTCTGATGCTGAGGAAGCTTTAAGAATCTTTTTGGGATAAGTAAGCCGGAATTTATTGATTACAAGATACAGCGTTACACAGGAGGAAACAAAAAAAACAACCCTCGACAGAAAAATACATAAGCATTGTAAGACTGAAAAATAACTATAATCAATATACAAGACAGCTGCTATGCCAACTTGAAACAATCAGTAATCAAGCAACTACTTACAACAGAGTGCCTCAAAACAGCCACAGTTTAGCAACAGATATCAGGAAAGTGGCTTGGGGGTGTATTTGGTCCATCTAGCTTCCACATGTTAACAGAACACTTCTATTAATTCGATACCAACCAAGATACGGACAGCCTGGCCTTTTAACTCCTGAGATTCACTATAAAACATTTGGATCAAAGTATTAGGTCGACAGCCGAAGTTACGAGGTTTGCCTGTACAAAGTGCCCGTAATGTACTTATGAGTCCTTAGAAAGAGAGAACTCCATGCAGAACACTAAGAACTGAGCTTTTGCAGGGTCCACGAGTAGACTGAAGAATGATGATACAAAGATCGGAACATGGAAGGGTTCTATTAAAGTTACACCAATTCTTTTTCATACGAACCTTACAAATGGAGGGATTCCACAATTAACACAATTCATGATTTTCCACAATTAACACCAATTCATAATTTTCAAAAGGACCACGAGTCTGCAAGTTGAGCAGCAAAATACCAGTGTCTTCTGTCCTGAAAACAATCATTGATCAACCCCGACCTATACTGCCACTCAATTGCCAAGTGATGACATGCCACTGACTTCATTTTCACTGGAAAGGTGGCCATGGAGATATCTCCCCACTTTCCTTTTGCTCTTGCATATTATTGGACTTATCGGTGAGTGATCTAGTGAACCAGCGGGAATTCCATTAGAATAATGAAGGATGATCTCTCTGCCTCTCTAAGGTATTGTACAGTGCCGTTCATGATCTTGACAAGCTTCTGGCTCATATGTAGCCCAAGACCTTCCCTTGAGACACACTGGCTGTGATGAAACATCTCTTGAATGAACTCTTCTGGGATCCCTGGGGCTGGATGTGTGATTCTACCACATCAATTACATAATCAAATATGAGAAATTTTGTAATATCCTTCCCATATGGCATTCATGTAAAAATTTACATAAATTATCGAAGTTTTGAAATTGCTGAATGAATGATTTTCATAGAGCAAAAAAGGAAAAAGAGGGGAAGTATCCTAGCCTTCACAGGCACATATTTATCATTGTACTAACACAATCATCTTGGAATAGCTGATGTTGTCACAATCAATGAAAAAACGAGAGAAATCCATCGACTATGGCAAGATAGGCAAGGACATATCTGGAATACTATTATAAACCTAAGCAGTGTTCATTGAAATGAATTAAATCAATTTCAAACACGTGGTTTTCAAATTCTGCTACAGCGATCTTATCCATTAGTTCATTGTTGTCATCTAAAACTTGGCTTTGCTTTGAAGTTGATCAATTATGGCATAATTCAACAAAACTAATCAACCTTATGCATGAATATTCATTGTGCAGTCAAAATACAGTGGCAACTAGTGACACAGGGAAGCAGATTAAGGGAACTTCTGCGCTACAGGTAAGCAAGATGAGACCAAAAGAGAGACGGGCTCCCTGTAGCATGTGTAGAGAAACACACTGATTGAACAGACTAGATGCTCAAACTAAATAGGGGAGAAAACTCATACAAAAGACTTGAAACCAAGACTTTGAATAGCCATAGATCTGATATCATGTTAACCGCTAGTTGCTCCATAAGGTTAGGCAGTATGGATTGGGTCAAGTAATGTTTGTCAAGCTCTAACCAGAAAGAATACGAGGACAATAAACACACGCATTTACAGGCGCTAGCTCACACACAAGTTTATTGTTTCTTGATATTATACATGGAAGTGACCCAAGTACTTTGGACAGAAACTAGATGGCAAAAACTATAAATGATTCAGTATCCAGTGAACAAGTTTGAGAATCTGTTTAGTGTGTGGCAAAAGAAAAAGGGAGACAAATGTGACCCTGTTATGGACATCATTTACACACAGCTGAACTTTTTAAATTGCTGCCCACACCTTTGTTGATCAGTTCATTGCACAATTTGGAATCAGAACAATGTCTATCCCAAAAATCCCATCAGTTTTAATGGTGATTAACTTTGTCTGACACGATCTCAGCTCCTTTAGCCATTCTTCTATGCCAACGCATAACTGAATACTGACACCCAAATGCTCTTCACGTATTAGCAGTGATTATGCCACAATTTTCGAGACAAGATCTTGTATGCCCTATATTTGGCCTTCATATCATTGCTGCTTGGCATGTATTTCTCATGGTTTACAAATCAAATTTGAATATATAGCCTTTGTCCAAGGAAGCATACACAGTGGACACGAGACACGAATACATCATGGCATGGACACAACAAACAAATAAATATGTATTATATATAATGTTATTTTGTTTGTCTATATACATGATGTTGTATAACTTACATAAATCTTTTATCTATTGTGCAACACAAAATTCATAACTTATGACGTTGTATAACTTACATAAATCTTTTATCTATTGTGCAACACAAAATTCATAACTTATGAACCATAATAATTTACAATCACCCATCTCTTCTAAATACAACACAAGAAGAATACATAATCATGGTGATTCCTATCATCCTCCCATTCTCCATCCTTTGTAACTTCCCGAGAATTAGAATTTTCCTGACATCCTAAATGAGCATGAAATATAGCAGTTTTTAATTCCCACCTTGGGCAGTAAAAATTGTCCATTTCTGATCAATCATGACTTAAACAAAAATTAGCTCTGTGATCAGAATGATAGTTTGGTAGTGTATGAATGTTAAACTTATGCACAAAATAAGCCAAACCCTATCAAAATTATCACATCAAAGAAGACTGTATTCTGAAAGTTGAAGATCCGAACAAGAGAATTCTAATTCTAATCTCAAAAGTTTGCAACTCTTCCCCCTAATCACTGTGTCATGTGTAGCAGTTGTAGTGACTAGTGAGAGTATCGATCAACTTTTTCTACATTGTTTCTTTGTGCTACATTTATGGCATTAATTATACGTGGAGGTTGGATTGAATCAGGTTATTCCAATTTGGTGCACTGCTTTATTTGTGGAAACATATGGACGCCTTGAAAACCATATAAGGGCTTCCATTTTTTGGGATTGCACTATCAATTGAATAAAAAGAAATAGAAGGATCTTGGATGAAAAAGTTGAGCGGGAGGAATTCCTACGGGAGAGAGTTACGTTTTTAGTCTCTTTATGGACTATGGCTAGTAAGGAATTTCGGGATATTCCTTTCTTCCTTGTTCATCAAAATTGGTTTCGGCAATGTAACTAAAGGGGTGGGCAAAGGGGGTTTCTATTGTAACTTTTTATTTTCACTTTGACTTTTGTTATTTTTAATTTCAGTTTTCTCTACTAGTACTTATGTTGGATTACTTGTCCACCATTTTGTACCTTTATCTTTCTTTCATGAAAGTTAGGGTTCCCTCAAAAAAAAAAAGTAGTTTCAAGTTTGAACTCTTGAAACTCCAAATCTTAGCAAACAAGCAGTCTCCAAATGCAAGTTTCAAGCAGTGTCAGATACATCCTTATGATTGAAGGACATCGTTTGGCATATTCAAATCAGTTCGTTCAAAAACAACACTCATTATGATGCTTGATAAGTCGCACTATTCCTAAAATTGTAACTTATCAGGTTTCAGTCTTTCTGACCAGTAAAAAAATAACATGCTGATAAGTATAAACTCAAATTACCGAAATTCCAGATGAACAACATGCATCTTGGTTCCAATACGTTGTTTTCTTGGATTTAACCTGAGCAGAACTGATGATCCTTCAAATGCAGGAGTAAATAGGAGAGCATTGGTCAGGAAATCTGAAAGGACTTGCTGAAGCCTCAAGTTGTCCCCATACAAGGACATGGATGACACTTCAGCAGGTGAATCATATATGACCTGCACCTGACGCTCACGACTCAGGATCATAACTTGATTTTTAACCACTTCCAGAGCTTCCCCAAGATTAAATTCACGAGTGACCATTTCCATAAAGCTGAAAAAAGGGTCGCAATTATCACAAGGCCGAAAATACCAATTCAAGAAAGGCTAATTGTGCATGCAAAAAAATCACACTGCATGAATGTAATAATTTGAAGAATAAGCAATCGCATGGATGATTTTTGCAACAAAAGATTAAAAATATCCCTTGAAGGCAGGGAAAAAGGTAAATGTGTGAAGAAGGAAGAACAACAACTAATCTAATGAAAGAAAGGCCCCTTAAAAACAGTGGACTATCGTAAGAAAGGGGACTTACGCAGGCGCAAACAAGATTTCATAAAGCCAGATTGTCACCGAACAAATCTTATTGACTTATTATTAGGTCTCTCTCTCTCTCTCCCCCTCTCTCTCTCTCACACACACACAAAGTCTGTCTCTTTGCAGGACCATGTAATTGTCTTCTATTATCCTTGTTTCCTTTTACTTTATCCTTACTTCCTTTTCTCTCTTTTTGTTCTTTTCAGATCATTCTTTGTTGATTTTGTTATCGAACGTGAATCCTTTCATATTTGAATTCAACCATCATTATAACAACTAAAGCTACAACAACCACTACTAATTCTAACAATAATGCCATGCTTATCAAAGTGCCTCAACCAATTATTTGGGATGGGCAACATAAATACTGCACAATCCGACCGGAAAAGAAAATTTTTGTCTCAATCTAAACCATACAACATATACATCCTCTGTCGTTTGATCTATTGGATCCTTTGATTTTGTCCCCCCAGTGTAGAGACCTACAACATTCTGATGCATAACATAAGGGTGTAGAGACCTCTCACAACAGCTAAGAAGCATACCTCACTGCAGCCATGTAGCTGTTTTTGTCATATTCCTATATTCTTACGAATGATCAAGCTATGCCACCAAAAATGATCATTCTTTGTTGGCATAAATCAACAACCACCACTTTATCTACGATCTATTGCTTTTCCGTTTTGATGAGAAACCATAAATTTTATATAAGCAATGTGCAGATACAGGAAGTCTGAAAGATGAGGAATGCCACAAGCTAGAGAGAGAAACAAAACAGAGGAGTATGACTAAATTTGATAAACACCCTGGAAACCCCTACAAAGACCCCATCTGACACTGTAAGAAGTGAAGGAACAAGCTCAATGGGTAAAAAAGTAATCTGCAAACTTCTTGAAATTGCATTTATTCTTTCCCTCAATGTAAAACATTTTCTAGATATCCTATACGCGAATGTATCCTTTAAAAAAAACACCGGATGCTATAATAAACGAACTGAGTCTGTCAGATAAGTGTTGGAATGATGTTCTAGGGACTCCGAACACACCAACAATATACTGTATGAGGCCCTCCTGGTTGAAGCTTGGCCTACAAGGCTACAACATTGGACATGTATTAGACACCTCAGATTATGACTTTTCAATCACTTTAGCAACAGGATGTAATATTACAACCACTTGAGACATTTAAAAAAAACGATTTAATCATAGTTGCATTTGGTTACTATTATACAATCATTTACTCCAAAAGTTTAACCTTCGTGTAACTTAAGTATTTATATTTTAACATGCCCCCTCACATGCAGACTAAAATTTTGAGCCCAACACGTAGAAATCTTTTAATTAACAGAGGCGAGATTTGAACATAGGACCTCCTACTCTAATACCATGTTAAACAACTATCTACTCCAAAAACTTAAGTTTTTAGAGAGGGCGTATTCAACAGTTACAAAGGATATATAAACGATATATATGTAGTTACGAACTTTCACATTCACGTGTCCAAATCATGTCCCAATTCTGCATTTATGCATAGGCTCCAATTTATTTGTAAGCTCTGTTTGGAAAATGTTTCTACAATCTATTAGTCCGAATTGCAGTATTATGTATCTTATATATATATACTTACGCACAGATGGGATGAAATCTTTTGATTGAATCACACCTAAAGAAGAAGAGGTGAAAAGAAGTAACAAACAACGCAAAATAATCCTGTAAATGGGACTCAACTGTCTTGCCATCATGAAGAGTCATGCTTATTTGCAGCAACTCAAAACATGTCGATGTCAAGACATACAGTCAAAAGACATTTGCTCTCCCTAATCTATGAACTTTGTAGTCGAGGAACTCTCTCATAAATTTTCCAAAAGTAAATAAGGGGGCCAAGTGGAGATCCTTTCTTTTACAATTCTTTGAAGAATCTGAAAGTCCGAGTCTGATCTCTCTTGGATATGTTAATAATACTTGCTAATGTCTTTACTCTATATTACCCTTTTGTGGGTCAAGGGTGGGGATTCTCAATAGTGTAAAGATGATAACGGGGATGAGGATGAGGATAGTGAATATGATACCAATAACAATACAAGTATAAGGAAATGCTAACTTGCTACACGACTGCAGTAGGTCAGCACCATGCCCGGTCTTCATAAAGTAAAAACACCTGTCAACTTAATAAAATTTGGGCTCAAGTCAAAAGGTTCAGGAAGAAGGGAAAAACAAGAAGTTGAGACCCATCTTCATTCTTAACCCACATAGCCGGACATGGTCAGCAGTGCGATAATGACAACAATGGGGAAAAGTTGACCAGATTGCAAGGTCAAAGGCACAGCCTATGACCAGTATAGATTGTTCAAGGGTTCACTTTCGACTTTGCAATGGCGACTGCAACTGCCATGTCATCCATGGAGAACAACCATCACTGAAGACTGCAATAGTGGCCGCCATGGTAGGCGACAGACATGATCGACATTTCCTTCACCAGAGTGTGTGAATATGTGTGTGTGTGTGTGTGTGTGTGTGTGTGAGAGAGAGAGAGAGAGAGAGAGAGAGAGAGAGAGAGAGTATAGATTATGGGTTCAATAAAGGAGGCTGAGCTTGTAGATTGTGTACTAGCGAGAAGGAAATAAGGTTTCTGAAGGATGGGACATTTCTGTCAACAATAAAATGCGCATGCTGTTATCCTGCTGTAGCCATATAGAATGATAGAATAACCTTAGCATATAATTCACTATGCGCTACAGATGGTAAATGAACTCCATATAATCAACACTTGGAACTTCTTGTGGGGGAAGAATCATTTTTCAATCTTTGAAGTGTAAATTCACAAAACGGACCTCGGCCATTTAACTCATATCATATCTCTCTTCAACAAGCTAAATTATTTATTTTTCTATGATTAAGATGGTTTCACAATGTATCTCTCCAACAAAACACACATATTTTGATCTAAGGCCGACAAAAATGCAACATGAATCTAAATCGTGAATATATGTCAACTGTTTGATATCATAAAAGTTAAGAATTCTAAGCTGGTTCAACAGAATGTTGATAATTTGCTGCCACTGCAGCAGCTTGAATTTTACACAGGCCTGCTTGGGACCCTTGTAAAGGGTTATAAAGATGCAGCACCAAAAATATATGATATATCTTGTCACAGATGCGTTCATCTCTGCATTTACATATTTAGTCAAAAACTACAACTGTGGAATATTTCCCAAAAGAAAAAACAACTTAGTGTGGATTTAGAAACTAATCGGTTCATCCATTGCATAACAACCATATAAATAAGTTTGAGACAGATGATCGTACCATTCCTCAATACTCTCAACATCGTTGTCATCAACAATCTTAGCTAATTGTTCCTGACACAGCGTGCTCCTCTTCAAAAGCTGCCTCTGCTCTTCACTTAAGTTAGAAGATTTCATTAGATCCTGAACACACTTTATGCCATTTAAAGGATTTTTAATTTCACGACGAACATAAGCTAATTTTGTGAGGCTATTAGCTGCAGCCTGTTCTGATATCCTTTGCACATGCATTGCATATTGAAGTTCTGGACTAGCAACACACAAAAAGCACAAAACCCCTGTTATCCTTCCCTCTGCATTGGTCCTTTTGTTTGCAGAAAGTAATGCTTCGACATGCTTGCCCTGCTTATCAAAGAACCCGAATAACATTTTATCTGCATCCTGGCCGGCAAGTACCCCATTCATTAATATTCTGAGCTTGGTTAATGTATCTTGATCTTTAACACGACAACCAAAATTATCAACAGTAAAGACCTCCCCAAGAAGCATTCTATCAGTGGCTTTTTCCCTCTTGACACCAGACAAATTCTGCATTGCATAGTTCCATTCCAAGCACCGACCGTTATCGTCCATCATAAACACCGGAGGAATAAGTGCACAAGTGTTCCGCAAGATTCCAACATAATCTCCTTGGATTCGGGTATATTTGTCCATAATTAACTTTTGCCCAGTAACATCATGGCCAATAAAGCATACCCCTACAATATTTCCCTTCACATCTCGACTACAACATGCATTTGCCACCAAGATAACAGGACCATTACTTTCCTGAGGACCAAATGTTTTAAGTTTGATTTCAACATTTTTCTCTTCTGTACCTGCCATTTTAATCAGATTGAAATCCAGCAAAGATATTGGAAGAGTAATAGAAGAGGAAGGACATGTAGCTCAAAATAAATGAAAGAATACTTCACATCAAGAAGACTCAATTTATTTCCAACTCCAACTCACAAACCTACAGAAACTTTTTTTTTTTTTTTGGTCACACTATTATAAGGGAAGGGGGAGGAGTCGAACCAACAAGTGCAGATGTGGAGGTACGAATGGCAGTGAATCGATGCGGGGGCGGGGGGTGTAGTCTCCATCCCCGTACCCGCTTAATAAAACTACGTCCATCTCCGATCCACCCCTATTAACGGGTATAGTTTTTATCTTCATCCCCGTCCACAGATAAATTTGTAATCCCCGCGCCCGTCCACTTTTCCCACCCCAACTCAACTAACATAATCTAAAATTCTAAATAAATCTAACATTCTAAATAATCCAACATAATTATAGAACATCATAACATAATTAAAAAACTTGTCATCTATAACATAATCCAACATAATATAATTAAAAATTTGTCTCCCACGTAAATCCAACACAATATCGTGCAACACAACATAATGTAACATAACATAATCCAACATAAAAAAAAACATAAAAACACAGAGATCTACACTTTTACAAGCTAAAAATATGAAAAAAAAAAATTAAAAACAAAACAATTTTCAAAAGAAAAAATCATTCAATAATATGTACATTTGTCTTGACATATATATATATATATATATATATATATATATATATATATATATATATATATATATATATATATAACAGGTAAAAAGGGACAGGGGTAAGTGTCAATCCATCCCCGCATGGGTTTATACAAGTATCTCCGTATACGTCCACCGTTCAATAGGTATAGTCTATCCCCGATCCAAACGGAACGAATTTGGACGAATACCTATGTTTACCCGGTCCACTATCATCCCTATGTGGAGGGCGTTGCCACTCCAACGGACCTTCAGGTCCAACCTTCAAAAACTTTGATTATTCGAAATAAAACATATCAAATATTATAAACCTACACATCGGGTGGACGGGTTTCAAAACATTTGGATTTTTCTAGTGATTTATACCCATAAAAAGACAAAAAAAGAATGTTAGGCTTGGTAAAGAGCATCATACAACCAATGAAAATAACATAGTGTATAGCTGTAGTAGCAAGCCATAAAATACTTTCGCTTCTCTTGATCTTCATTTTTTTTTCCGTTGCTTATCTTTCTGGTGTAGGTGAGGACCTAAACACTAGATACTGATCCCTAGTGGGCCCAAGTTCTCCCTATGCCAACAAAACCAATTCTCTACTCATCAGCCTCAGTTTCTGCATAAAAATGTTAGAAAACTGAAAGTCCAACACATATCATGCTGATCAGGACCAAGTCAAATTTCCAAATCTTACAGAATAAATATCCCAAGGGAAAAATCAACAAACAAAACAATATCACCCAGCAACAAATATTTCTATATAAAACATGAATATTACAAAAATATGAAACTAATTACCAAGGAGCCTAAAGATTATGCAGAGTATTACCTTGCAAAGCTGAAGAAAGCATGTTTTTCACTACGTCAATAGAATCATCCACGACTAAATCGACTAAGAGCATGCCAATAGCTTGCTGCACAGCCAATCCAGTCAGCTCAGCTACTTTAGTATTCCACCCATTTATATTACCTGAGGCACCAACAGCCAAGACGGGGACTGAAGCTGTCTCAATGAGTCGAACCATTTCGTTCGTCACAATACGGAGCTCATCCACTCTTTCTATACTAGTATCGACAAATGGCACATTCACGATCATTTTGGAATCATCTACGATCTCATCTTGCAAAGATCCTCTCAGTATCAGCTGTAAGGAATGGATTGCATCCATTTCCACATCTTCCCAAGGTAAGCTCCGCCTCTTAACCACCTCCAGGAAGACCTTGAATGATGACCTAGGGTGCATCTTTCTTCCATCATCCTTGTCATCCGGATCATGTTTTGCCCCACCCCACTTGATCTCCTTAGCTGTGTGTGACCGGAACCAAAAGACAAAATCTTTTGAAGTTATTTTCACAGCAGCCATTCCACATACTGCATCACCAAGAATGGCAGCACCTGGAACACCAGCTTCCATGAGACTATCAGTACTTAACCCTGTACTCCCATTGTGGTCTTCAAGAAGCCATTCAGCTAGATCTCTGATCTGCGCCTCTGTAGGGGTGACCCCAAGCAACCAAAATTTGTTCTTGTAATACAGTGCAGCTCCATCACACCTAACAAGATCCATCACATTAGGTGATTGATTGACAATTCCCACAGGTGCATCTCTTAGGAGCATGTCGCAAAGAACAGTTTGAGTTCGCAAAATATGCTTCTCCCTCAGTTGAGCTGCCAACTCCACTTCCTTGTTAATCTGAACACCAAAAACTTGAATCAAGAACTCACAGGCATACCTCAAAGGGAATGGAACAAACCTGGAGGTTGTGTGATGACAAACCACCAAGCCCCACAACTTTCTTCCCTTTTGTTGATCACTATCCATCTCATCATCATCCTCATTGATCGTCACCGACATAACAAGAGATGCCAGGGAACCCATATTTGCCATATATTGTGCATGACACCCATGAGCAGCTCTCAGCGTGGATCCACAAAGACTCAATGATTGACTCAATCCCTTGTCTTGCATTACTTTAACTGGTGGTGCCAAGCAATCACATATCATCCTAACCTTATTTTTCATGAAGAGAAACCTTGAAGCTTGTGGTATATCAGTAGCGGGGTAATGCAAGCCAAGATAAGGTTCCAGATCGGGCCTGCAGCACTCAGCAACTACTTCACCATGTTCATCTTCATGAAACTTATACACCATAACTCTCTCATAACCCGTTAAATCACTAACTTCTTTAACTAACACATCACATAACAATGATATATTCCCACTAGGCAAAGATTGCAATCTTGAGATGGCTTTAGCTGGCTAGCTTATATGATTTTAACGCTCCAGCA